TAAGCACTGTTAAATCCACACCCTGCATTAAAGTCATACTGATGCTTCCTCCCACTACATTTGCTCGCTGCTCAACTGTCCTGCTCACTGCAAATGTCAATTGTGTTCTGCTTAACTTTTAGCCAGAACACTTGTCAAAACCTCTGGTCTTCCATTTCACAACGTGTACTGACCTTGATGAAGTAGTTCATCCCAGCAACCACTTGGGTTTTATATTTATAGGCTATAAAAACTGGATAGGTCTTGTTTTCTTTTCTTTCCAGCTGTGGCTTCACCTGCAAGAAAAGAAAAAAGAAAGGTTTGGTGGCATACCCCTTTTCATCACATCACTGAAACTCCCCCCTTCACCAAAAAAAACCTCACTGGTAAGCAGAGAAGCCCTGCAGTCTTGAAGCATGGGAGTGAGGCTGAAGAAGGGGCTGGGGGTGGCTGCTCGCAGCAGGATGTCCAGAGGTGGGGCAGGGGCAGGGGCATGGCTGGCCACAGGGGACAGTAGTGCCACAAGGTGTCCTGACAGCCAGGTCAGGGCAGGCGGGGCAGCAGCAGCCTATCTTTAGTCAGCCCAAGGTGAGCGGCTTGCTGCATCCCCCCTGCATTGCAGTGGGACTGGTCAGGGGAGAACAGAGAGCTGCCACCCCAGCTTGTAGTTTGTGGCATCCAGGGGCTCAGCAGCAGGAGCACAGGGCAGCCAGGGTGCAGCTGGAGGAACAATCCCTGCCGCTAGGGCCTCTGACCCACGCTGAGTGCAATGCCTGGGTCTGGCAGGGTGTGGGGCTGCCGAGCAAAAAGAACACAGGCACCCGCAGGCTGCGCTGTGGTGCGACCACGTAGTCCAGCTGGGCTGCACCCTCTGTCCATCTGTCGGGGAGGGCATGTGGAGGCACACCATGGCAGGCACTCCCCCGTCTCCCTGCTCTCTCCCCATCCCATCTTCCCCCCTGTGCTCCAAGACTGCTGGTAAGCTTTTTGGGGGAGGGGAGTTGCGGGGGAGGGCAGGTTGCAGGAAGCCCACCAAAAATGCAGGGCTCATCACATGAGGATGGCCCAAAACCATGGCAAAGCCATTAATTCATGATTAATAACACATGGATTAATGGTTTCTCTGGGCTTAATCAGGGTAATTAAGCCATGGTTTGGGGCCACGTGGCAATCTGCAGTGAGGGGTGGGACTGCCAGGGCCCCTTGGCCAGAGGTATGGGGAGCCCACAGTGATCAGCCCACGAAAACAGCAGCCGATCCTGTGATCTGCCCGCAAAATTGGCCGGCTTCCTCCTTGAGTTCAATAGGCCTGTACCAAAGCGCCTTCACAGTCCTTTACAGCCCTGTTCAAACCAGACGTTCTGCCTGGCCTTTCATGAAAACCTTTCCCAACTGAATCTTCTACTTGATCTCTGGCCCCAGACAGCTTTTGCTGATACAGGCATGCAGCCATCTATCTCCCAACCCAACAATTCTAAATGATCTGACCCATTCACCAACTAGTACCTTGAAACCAAGTACATCCCAGGCTCAGTGCACTGTCACAGACAAGTATTCAGGACAGACCTGAAGCCTGGAACTTCTTTTTCCAGGTGGTAGTGAAGGCTCTCCCTAGTGTAAACATCACCACAGATACACCAGCCATTGTCATGGTAAAATTCAGGAGAACAATGGCAAAATATACTTAGTTCCCTAAAAAACAAACAACCCTCCCCCACAACCACCACCACCATACCTACTTGGAGCCTTGGATCTAGAGGCTCCATACTGTAGACCAAAGTCAACCCTACAGGTGAATAACCACCACTACCCTTTTATTATGTATATTATTAAATGCGGCTCCAATGGAAACAGTGCTCTGCAATCATACAATATCTGATCCAAGTTTGTGGAGTTCTGCTTATTCTTGGAACCCACTTTACATAATTTGCATTTTTTTAAACTTATTCAGTGCAAGAATGAAAAAGTCTCTCTTTACTATAATATTAAAAAAAATGAAGGCAAGAAGGTTTAGGTCATCAATGAATTGGTGGTGCCACTAACAATTACTTTCAAAAGCCTAAGAATTTAGCCTACAGTGAAAAGGCCAATGGGCTGAACAGAAGTGAGGAGGGGAGCAATATTTGGCCAGGTATCATGATCCGTGTGCCTATGAGTGTGCACTTTGGAGACCAGAGTCTCATTGGCCCTGTAAAGATGAGTAAAAGTATATGTTAAAGCGCTAACACCAGAAAGAGTGAATTCGCTCTTTCAAGCTGCTATATAACTTATAATTTATTTGGACAAGATGTATACTGATTATCCGGGACCCTGTTTTTCTCCAATTAAAAATTGCAAGTTCTCTGACCCAAAACCCAAAATCCAGGATAAAAATTAAAGGCCCCCCACAGCCCCTCCCAGCACTGCTGGTGCCCCACCAGTAGATCAAGAAGCTGGGGAGTGTGCCCCTGTGCCCACTCCCAGGAGCAGGGCCAGGGGGTGAGGGCAGGGGTGCCACTCTGTGGGCCACACACATGCCGGCTGGCCTGATAGGAGGTTCACCCACAGAGGCCGCCACCGCAACTCGGCCACTGCACCCTGCGCTACCATCCCACGGCCACTTGCACAGCTTTGTGGCCAAGTGGTGCAGGGCACGGCAGCAGCAGTGCAGTGGCAACCACCATGTGTGGGCCACATATGTGCCACCCGGCCGGGGGGGTGAAATGGGGTGCTTCCATGCAGCAGCATGTCCCACAACCGGCTGCACGGCTCCGCAGCGGTGCAGGGTGGTGGCAGCTGCATGCAGGGTGGGGGGGCTTTGTGGGCAAGCTCTGCCACCGCAGAGCTATGCCCTTTGCCCCACGGAATCCGTGGTTTTCTCCGTTTTACCATGGGAAACGGAAAACCCGGATCCCTGCTGATTGTGTAAAATCTGCCAAAAGCATTTCATTGATTGACTGCATCAATCTTAATATCTTGCTCAAAAGAGTCCTGGTTGGGATTCTGAAATAAATTTGAACATGTCAGCTCTCGTATTTTGGTGAAATTGTTTCATAATAAAGCATATATTTTCTACCATATAAAAGTAGCCAAAATCGCTTTGCCTTTTGAGGATACTTAGGCCATTTCATGACTAAGACACTTTCGATGTTCTCTAAGACTCCCACGACCAGCCTCACGTGAGTGAGGGTAGTGGAGTGCTGTGGCACAGTTTTTGGTCACATGCCCAAATGCTCCAGTTGCTAGGCTCAAAAGAGCATTAGCTTCTAGTGAGCTGAAGTATGCAGGCTTGCACGCATGCACGCATGCAGCTCAAATGAAAGCCCGAGTTGACATGGCTGCTAGGAAGAGTCAGATACCACCAACCCACTGTTTTAGACTGTTTCAGTTAACAATAACAGTGAATCCTGTTTAAACCCTGTTTAATCCTTGTAGGCAGACTCATTAGCAATTACAGCTCCACAGATCTCACAGCCCAAGTGCATTCATCTACTGGCTGTAACCAGTCAGGGCTTTCAATTCTGTGGCAGGACTCATAGGGGGCCCCTCTATACTGATGTCCCATATGGCTTCCATTATGTAAGCACAACCAGTTATAAACTTTACTCTGGAGCTGCCACACTACTGCTGCAAACTCTCACAGACCAAGAGTTTCTAAACAGTTCACTCTTCCCAGATCCACTGGCTGCTCCACTGCTGAAGCACTAAAGGAGAGCTGGGGTGGCACTGGCACAGCACACGGTTGACAGCCCAGAGGTCACAAGTTTGAGACCATAGCAGAAGTGCTCATGACACAGCTCTGTCACATCCCAAACAAATCTGCAAATTCTGCTGCATATCTTATCACAAGGACATGAAAAAGTCAGCCAGCCAAAAATACTTCCTCTTCTGCTGCTATTAGCAAACTCATCTTAATGCACCCAAACTTCCAACCTCTTAAGCAGAATTTAACTTTATTGTCATTCGGTGCACGCTGCCCCTAACCTTATTGTCATTTGGTGCAGGCAAATGAACCCTGCCTCCCAATCCCCCAATTCATGATCCTTCCCAGTCTCCAAGACTGTTTACCCATGAGTTATTTATTCAAAGTGCTCACCCCTTTATAGAAGGTTAGCAAGCCAGATAATTAAGTCCCCAAATGAGAAGCGAAGTTCTTGGCTCCTACATGACAGATATAGCACAAGGAGACTTATTGCGCAAAATACATTCTAAGTGCACTCCAAGATAAAGACAGAAAGCAAATTAAAGCTCAGGGATCAACAGTGCTACAAGAAGCTGATAGGACAAGGGCTGCTGGATGTTAGGGTCTCCAAGGGAAGCAGGTGACTGTTCACATCTGTGCCTGTGATGCCTTGAAATGTGTATGAAATGCCCCTTCTCTTAGTCACAGAATAAGATGCTAGAACTGTCCCTTTTAAGGGGAACACCATTGTCTAGAAGAAATTTGGTACAAGCTGCGTCTGGACTAGCAGCAGTTGTAGTGTGAATCATGCCAAACAAGTTGTATCTCCCTCTTTGACAAAATAACTAGTTGGGTGGATAAAGGGAATGCAGTGGATATGGTGTACTTGGTCAAAGGGCTTACTGAAGTCCAAGTCCCACATGACCTTCTCACAAACAGACAGACGTGTGGGCTGGACAAACCTACTGCAACGTAAATAGACAGGTGTCTGAATAGCGACAAGCACACCTTAATCATAAAAGGAAAAATGTTAGAATGGCAAAAGGTCTTGAGCGGAGTCCCACAGGGGGCTGTGCCATGTCATATAATGTATTTATTAATGATTTGGATATTGGAGCACAGAATTTCCTTTGCCTGCACAGAATTTCCTGAGCAAATATGCAGACAGCATGAATGTGGGAAGGATTGCAAACATACTGAAGGACAGAAGAATTCAGAAAGTTCTAGATAGACTGGAAAGCTCTTATTGGCGACAACAGGATGAAGCTCAGTGCAAACAACAGGATGAAGCTTAGAAGCACTGGGTGTTGGCCACAAGCAAAGCTACAGATTTTGAGTGGGGTGGGGTGTGCTGAAGCTCCTGGTCTTCACTGAAAAATTAGGATGGTGGCTTCACATCAGATACTACACGGCAGTGCCTACCTGCACTTAAGATCTTTCCTACAGGAACCATCTGTTATATTTCTACACTGCACATGCAAAATACTATTTTGTAGATCTGCAGTACCTTTCAAAGGAAGAATCTCAAAAGACTTCACAAACATCTCACAGTGCCATTGTGAAATAAGGTAATAGTATTTTCTCTGCTTTACAGGTAAGGACATTTACAGGCAAAGAAAATCACAAGCAGGTGAAGGGGCCTACCCAGAGTGACATGGCAGGTTCATGCCTGAGTTAGGAACAGCAAGCTGATCTTTGCTCTTGGCCGTCTCTGATTTCATAAATGGTACCTGATTTCATCACCGCTGAAGCTTCACTAATATTAAGACTAATGCAGGGGAGTAAACACAACAGCATGTTTCCTCTGTAGAGAGCAGAGCTCAACAACACTGTGTGTAAAGACAGTCTTGTCTTTTTAGTAGATGCTCCTATTCCTGTTACTGCTGGTTGAACTATACCAGTTAGGCAGTGTGGACTCAACTTTAGCTGCCGCACTAGTGTAGCAATCTGCATCAGTCAGGAATTTTTCTTGAGCTTCTGGGAAACTAGAACACAAACTGTCATGTTCATTGGACTGGAGTCAGGAGCACCACTCCCTAAGCAAGTTACTTCTAATCAGTAACAGATGTGAATGTCAGATTTTAAAATAAGTTGCAGTTTTATTGCAACTTGGCTGAGATGGCTTAGTCAGGGATGATCCTGCCCTAAGCAGGTGGTTGGACTAGATGCCCTCCTGAGGTCCCTGTCTTTTCTGTGATTCTATTTCCTAAGACTTCCTAGAATGCTCTTTACTTTAAAGAAACCTTTTGCTATACAGTGGAAGCCACTTAATTCATAGCCAGGTGATTCACAAGTTGCAATAGAAAGGGCACTTCATGTGCATGTCTCTTCAGCTGGAGTTCAGCAGCAGCAGTCCAGTGCCCCGATCAGTGCAGCGGTACCCTTGGAAATAAAAGCCATGGCAAACAGCTGGTGGATCTCAGGGGCTTTTGCAGCTTTTACTCTAAAGACCTCCACCTCTCTGATTAGCTTGAGCACAGCGGTGGTCCCATACAGCTTATCAGAAAAAGAGTTTATCCTTGGGAAAAAAAAGCCACATCTAGAATATTTCAGCTCTGCATACATTGGTTACCTAGCAAGCCTTCATCACTGCAGAAGCGTGAGAACCCTAACCCTGTAAAGTATCTGGTTTCTGATGTATATGGGTATATTCGTTTTTTTATGGGTTGCAACTTAACTCACCTGATCAGCTATCTTCTGGACTTCCGGTGTGGCAGGATTGGCAGAAGATAACCCTCCAGGCATCATGGTGGCAAGTCACCCGTTTGGGCTGTCTGGAAACTCTTGACAAAGGAACACTAGAGCAAATGTGATCAGAGAATTGTCAGCTAGCTCTTATATAGCCAAGCAGTCATATGACTCACGCATGGAGTTTACCATTACCAAATTGGAGAAGGGGAGACAAAGAAAAAATAGGTAGAAACAAAGTGTAAAATGTTATTATTATTATGAATTGTAAAAAGGGAGACATCATTTTAAATATCAGTGTGTGTAAAGTTTCCTGGGCTTCCAGGGGTGGCAGAAGACAAGCAGCCCCCAATGCTTCCTGTTATGGAGATCAGTTCAGGCAGGAATGGAAGCTTCCTGACTCAGAACTAGTACATGCTAAGTGACAGGAAGACAAGGCTATTTGCATAATGACATGCCAAGTCACAGGCACATGACTGTGCTGGGTGACTGGAAACACCCAGCGTTTCCCAACATCCCTCTTAAAATTGGCAAATACCCACTTGTGGTTACTACATTTAAGATGTGGCTGCCTCAAGCTGTGAAACCATAAACAGGTTAACCCCTGGCAAGCTAAGACCTGCCTCCTCGTTTGTAAAAGCTGCCAACACATTACACAGCCCCTATTCATGGATTAGGCCTGGCCTAATAGTGGCAAATGAGGGTAAGTTTTCTAACACTTTGCAATGTCTGTCTTTTCAGGCACAACTGCCACAGTCCAATTTATTCCAGGATTAAGCCTCAAGCATTTCCAATCCGTTTTTTGTAGCTTCAATTTCCTCACGTGTGCAAAGGTAGCAGGCAGCTTTTTAATAGGTTATTAAGAAAGCTGAAAGGTGCTAAAGCCAGGGCCCAAGCCCATAGTGTGGGGCAGACAAGAGAGAAGAACCAAAGTTCTGGCTGTCTTGAGAACTCGGTGTCTCCGTAAGCCTTAAACAGCAAAGCTTCTGATGGGTGATCCAGTGCAGAAATGGAGCATTTAGCATGTCTTGATTTAGCATCTTATAGAATGTGGAAAATGAAGTCATATTTGCACTACAAGGAGCTTGAGCTGATGAATGAAGCAACTGCTGGTCTAGAATGTAAACAGTATCATTAACAATTTTCAGAATTACACAAAATATTTAGTTTGTCTAGATGGAAAGATTTCTTTGGGGGATATCTTTTATTGGACCAATTGTGTAGTTGCGGTAGTTAGACAAGCTTTCAGATGCAGGACATTCTTCATGAGGTCTGACCAGAACAAGCCAAGGACAGCATAGTTATTGTCTGTCTATTCGTTTTCCCCACTCACCATTCTTCTATCAGACTCATCAGATGATGTCTGCAATTATGTAGTATTAAATATAGGGGAAATTTAGAGTAATGCAATATCCGCCCGTAATCTTGATCTAACACAATACTGAAGTTCAGATAGATTTCCTGGCATGTGCACAATTCACTCCCTCTGTGTCACTGTCTTCTTGCAGAAGTATGCAAGGCAGATAGGGCTACAAACAGCAACCCTTCCTCCACCTTTACACCCCTGCCATGAGCAAGCTCAGCTGCCTGCTCCCCCCTGCATGGTGGGGTTTGCACCTCTACAATGGCAGGAAGGAGATGAAGCCACTGCTCCACTCCACACCAGTTGAGCTAGATGGGGGCACACCCTGTATTCTCTGAGGATATCACAAGAGCTCCTTCTTGCTTTGTACCTGCTACCCTCTTAACTTTCTACAGGTCACACAGCTCCACGCCACCTCCATTGTGAGATGGTACCTTAGAGCTTGTCTGCAACCCTTTTTATCTCTTGTAACTACAATGACATACAGTCAACATGGCAACCCTGCTCTCAAAGAGAGGCAGTTATCCAAATGTTAAGTGCTTGTGCTGATGTAGCGTATTTCATTTTGGCAAGCAAAATAAGCTATACAGGTAAAAGGCATTCTCATTTATATTGATATAGCTACATCCACATCAGGGCTCTTGATCACCATCTATTATTTAGCTTGTTTGTATACTTGGGTGAATGCTCATGCAACAGTAACATCATTGCATGTGTTGACATACACTGTTACAAGTGCTATGGGAAGGACAGGTTAACATTTCTGGATTTTTGAAGGAGACATTTTTCAATCTTAGATTTGATTTCAAGTTGCTTTAACGCCCCTTCTTGTTCACACAAACTTACCTGTGTATCATGATGCTTTCAGCTGAGAGTGTTTTGTAAGAAAGGGCGTATAGACTCCTCACTCTGCTTGCACTCTGGCTGTACCAGTTTTAGAAGAGGAAGTACACTAAAAGGGCTGATAAATCTCCACTACATTCTTACAATTCCCTCTAGATGTTCCAGAGGACAGACAAGGCTTTAGATGTTTGGTCACATTTTAGGTGTTGTTCCAGTATAGATATTACTATGAGATTAATATGATTCTTACAATTTAATTAGTTAATGTACCAACACTTGTTGGTATAACCCCTGAGTTTCTGTACTTATAGTTATCAAGACTTCACTAAATGTGGTTTCCTTTTTATTAATTGATTAGGGCCTTTATTGATATCCTCCTTATCTGATGCCCATTAAAATATTGGGGGAATAGGTACATTCCTCAAAATATGTCCCATCTTTACCTGGCCTGTAACCTCACATTTTAAAGCCAATTCAGTCCTCACGGTATGCCCCTGCTGGACAGATGTAACTATAGTCAGGTATACTAAATTCTCTGTCCAGAGTTTCCATGTAATAGCACATGTCATTCAGTCAGTATGTATCAGCCAATATATCTGTCTTCCTGCTTGCAACAATTCTAGACCAAAATATTTGTTATCCAATTTAGCAATATTTCCTGTAAAAACAAAATAAGAAATTGCCTCTCTTTTTTGTTTTTTTTTATATATATATATATATATATATATATATATAAATCATAGATAATTAGGGTTGGAAGGGACTTCAGGAAGTCATCTAGGTCTAGTCCAACACCCTGCCCGAAGCAGGACTGTCCACAACTACGTCATCCCAGCCAAGGCTTTGTCTTGCCAGATCTTAAACCCCGCCCAAGAAAAGAGATTCCACCACCGCTCTGGGTAACCTGTTCCAGTGTTTTACTACCCTCCTAGTAAAGAAGTTCTTCCTCATATCTAAGCTAAACTGCCCTTGTTGCAACTTGAGACCGCTGCTCCTTGTTCTGCCATCTGCCACCACTTAGAACAGTCCAGCTCCATCCTCTTTTGAACCTCACTTCAGGGAGTTAAAGGCTGCTACTAAACCTCCCCTCAGTCTTCTCTTCTTCAGACTAAATAAGTCCAGTTCCCTCAGCCTATCCTCATAAGTCATGTCCCCCAGCCCTCTCACCATTTTCATTGCCCAGTGCTGAACTCTCTCCAATTTGTCCACATCCTTTCTGTAGTGGGGCCTCACCCAAAACTGGACACAGTACTCTAGATGTGGCTTCACCAGTGCTGAAGAGAGGGGAACAATCACTTCTCTTGATCTGCTGGCAATGTTCCTACTAATGCCGTCCAGTATGCTGTTTGTCTTCTTCACAACAAGGGCACATTGTTGGCTCATATCCAGCTTATTGTCCACTGTAACCCCCAGGTCCTTTTCTGCAGAGTTGCTTCTTAGCCAGTTGCCTGCACCAGTGCATGGGATTGTTCCATCCTAAGTGCAGGACTTTGCACTTCTCCTTATTGAACTCATGACATTTCTTTTGGTTCAACCCTCCAATTTGTCCAAGTCACAATGACTCCTAGCCCTACCCTCCAGCGTATCTACTACTCCCCATAGCTTAGTGTCATCTGCAAACTTGCTGAGGGTGCACTCCATCCCATCTTCCAGGTAACTGATGAAGATAATGAGCAAAACTGACCCCAGGACTGATCCCTGGTGCACTCCACTTGATACTGGTTGGCAACTACACATTGAGCCATGGTCTACAGCCCTCTGAGCCCAATGAACCAGCCAGTTTTCTATCCACCTTACAGTCTTTTCATCCAACCCATACTTTCTTAGCTTGCTTGTGAAAATGTTGTGGGACACTATACCAAAAGCCTTGCTATATCATGTGCACTGCTCTCCCCACATCCACAGAGTCAGTCATCTCATCATAGAAGGCCATCAGATTGGGCAGGCATGACTTACTTTTTATGAATCCAAGCTGACTGGTCCTAATCACCTTCTCCTCCTCCAAGTACTTAGAAATGGATTGCTTGAGGACCTGCTCCATGATTTTTTCAGGGACTGAGGTGAGGCTGTAGTTCCCTGGATCCTCCTTCCTCCCTTTCTTAAAGATGGGCGCGATTTTTGCCCTTTTCCAATCATCCAGGACCTTTCCCAACCTCCACAAATTGTCAAAGTTGATGGCCAGTGGCTCTGCAATCACATTGGCCAACTCCCTCAGCACCCTCAGGTGCATCCTGTCCAGCCCCATGGACTTGTACATGTCCAGCTTTTATAATTTGGCCCTAACCTGTTCTTGTCCCACTGTTGGCTGCTTATCTCCTCGCCAAACTGTGCTGCCAGTGCAGTAGTCTGAGAGCTGACCTTGCCTGTGAAGACTGAGGTAAAAAAGACATTGAGATGTAGCAGCATGGTGTAGATACATATTAGTGGTTTGCTATTAAAGTATTGTCTATAACAAGTACTAAAGATTTTTAACACACAATTAAACTGTGTATTTGAACTGCGTACGTTTCCATTGCAACTGGCCATTTATGTTAAATACAGGGATTGTCCTAACTTATCCACAACAGGGGATGGGTCATCATGCTTGTCATCTGACAGGTGTTAATGCATGTATGCCTGTGACAAGGTATTGGCACATACCATGCAGGCTCCCTTAGACCAATACAAAGTCTCCATACTTTTTAATTCTTTTATACAGTGATCCAAACAAATTGTGTATTGCATTCCACCAATATCATGAGCTGTCCTGTACCATAGGCTTGCTCCTGATCTGGGTGTTCCCATTCCAGCCGCATCATCCTGGTACTGGACTATTCTGCACCAGACTTGTTACAGGTATGACACAATGCAGGTCAGTACAATGGCCACTAGACTGAGCTGTTTGTGCTGGATACTCATCAGCCAGCTATGCTTTAGTCAACATTATGTACAGCTTCAGA